ACCCCGGCATTCATAACAAACCGGTACATGCCGGTTTGCTCATCTGTTTCCCTATCAATTGAACCGAACCGGAGTTAACCCGTTTGATATTCTGTTCGAATTTTTTGCAGGTGGGTCTGTTGAATGTGGATGGATATTACAATGCTTTGCTCTCGTTCATCGATAAAGCTGTAGAAGAGGGATTTATACGTCCGAGCGCTCGAGAAATCATAGTATCGGCTCCAGCGGCAAAAGAGTTGGTTAAGAAATTAGAGGTAATTAAATTGCTTGAACCGGTTTGGTTTTCTCTTAACCGGACATATGCAGTTTTATTTCGTTGGTATCTTAAACCGGCCGACATATAACTCTTTGTTTTCCTAGGCTTGAGATCAACCCATGATAGTAACTTATAATGTTAGGTTAGGCCGGTACGTGCATGTATAAGCGTGCGCACATATACATACAAGTGTCGTGGATCTAAAGGAACTATTGTTGGATGCATTAAAAAATTGAGTTTACTTTTATCGGGAATACATATATAAAATAATATTTTTTATACGAAATAACTTAAATAATCTTAAACTAATTTTAATAATATTGATGGTAATTATGGTATGTGATCCAAGTGTTACTATTTGCTAATACAGATTCGTTCATACATACATATGTATACGCGTACCATGTACTCACATATTATTTCAAGGAATTGATATACATGCATATATATATATATATATATATACATATACCTACGCAGGAATACGTGCCTCGCCATGGGAAGGAAGCATCGAAGTTTAGCTGCGAAATAGAAGAGCTCGAACATGGACGTGGATTGGATGCTTTGTAGACGAGACAGATTCGAGGACAGTTAGGGTTTGAGTCCGAAAGTTTTTTCCAGTTCAAGAAGAGGGGAAAGTAACTCCACTTGATCATGGGAACGTACGCCTATTTTTCTTGTAAATTTTCTGTCTTTTTTATTTCTTTTCTATCGAATTTCATATGTTTGAATTTGTAGTTATTATATATAGTCCGACTTGGGATCATATATATATAATATATATATACACATATATATGATCCCCCCTAATAATTGGTATATATATATATATATAAACTATTAAAAAAATGCAAATTTAAAGTACAAATAGATATATTAATTTTTTTTCTGAAACGAAGAAATAATTCACAAAATTTTAGAAATTAGCAGAAAAACTAACCCAAAATAATTGAACATGTAGCAAAGAGTGGGAGAAAATAACATGGAGGAACAATACAAACGGTCATCGCTTAATACGAGTTCCGTACATACGGGGTTTGCTCCCTTGCACTCTTCACGTGATGTTTTACTTGCTTTACTCGTATGCTACAACTTTTAGAGGATCGGAGAAACCCATGTGAATGTTTTACCTCAGTGAAAATTTGAATCCAAATTGAAAAAGAGATTTGTTATATTCTTTACCGGTGGAACCGCCCAATTTTAAATCGGATGTTAGAATTTTTAATATAAAAGTTCCTCTCTTTTTTCTCACCAGCAACCAATGAATTTGGATATTCACATATATTTGGATATTTTTTTAGATATCTGGAATTTTCATATTCAAAGCTTTCATATATGAATTCACATATCAAATCTCATATAGAATCGACTGATTAGTCAAACATTCTCTCGAAATTAATTGTTTTTAGTGAATTTATATACAAACCAATCAAAGATGAAAAATGTATGAGGTTGGTTTAATTCTTTGATATTCAGTTTCTTCGAAATTCGTTTGTTATGATATGTATCATAAAATTTGATTCAACTAAATACATTGCAGAATAATCACTTCAGTGGTAGTGCGATTTGGATAACATCGCCAAAATAACTATGGATTAAAAAACTCAACTTAGATTTGGATAACAAAGCATCTGTCCCGCTCCGAGTTCGAGGTTCAAGTTGAGGAAGGAGTGCATAATTCAAATCATCTCACTGGCTTCTGACCCCGAAATTAGTCTGGATTTCGCTCCAGAAGGCTCAGTTATAAAAAAAATGGATTAAAAGATCTACGCTGTTCATTTTATATCTAAATACATAAGGGAAAAAATTAACAAAAAAAAATGGGATAAAGAATTACATTTTAGATATCCTTCACTCCAATTTATCTTTTAGAATAAAATGTCAGAATTTTTTTCCTAAACTTAATTAATGGTTTGGCCTTAGATTGTTTCCGGAGAAATTTGTTTCATTTATTGTTGGATTAAAAAAATTATTGAATTGATGACTTTTCCTTTTAACGAAGATGTAAACTGCTATGAGAAAAGAAAATCAAATAATTAAATATGATTTTCCGGTCCACTCATCTTGGAATCAGAACTAATTAATCAATTAATTAATATAATAAAGTGGGGTTAAGATATTTATCATCCCATATTAATTAATATATTTATAAAAAATTTAACCGTATGAAAAACAAAGAATATCACTTTCTTTTTTCATAAATCGTCTCTCTCTCTCTCTCTCTCTCTCAAGTGGCACAAGCATCCACATCTTTCGACCCTTATGCGCAAATATATGTGTATGCATATATATTATAAATGGATTTTGGATCTCCTTTTCTCTTTCTTGGAACTGAGCTCTCTTCTCTCTCCTCTCCCTTTCTCTCCCTCTCGTGGCTTTGATAAGAATTCCTTGAAGATCCGCTTCTTGGCCTCTCACAGGGTAATAGATATTATCTGGGTCATCCTGGCTTGATCATGGCGATTTTCAGAGGTGACGGATTTATTTCCCTCCTCCATAAAACCGAATTCCCTGTTTCTCTTACGGGTTTCTTGAAGGGGTTTGCATATTTGGCCTTGGATTTTGTGCAAACGGGCTTCTGGGTTTTTGCCTTGCGTTTATTCTTTTTGACTTTTTTTCTCGAAGGAAAAAAAGAAAAATCCCCAGGTGGATCAGATCCGCTTTGCATCTGGATCTCTTACGTTTTCTGGGTTTCTACTTTCTGACTCAGGGTTTGTAAAGTTTATTCATTTTTCTATTTACCCATCTGGGTTTTTCAATTGGATATTTAAGTTTCGTTCTACTGGGCTCGTCTCTATATTTTGTGTTGACCTGTTTCTTAGAAGACCTGAACGTGTTGATCATCTGAAATCATTGCATTTGTTTGCTTTACGTCTGGGTTACGTTTCTATCAGCTCGATTTAGTGATGTTTGTATCTGATGATATGGTGCCGGGCTCTAGTTGTGGAAGGTGTGTAGTAAATTAGTAATCTCCTGCAATTCTGCTCGTCAGTTATGGTAAAAGTACGAGTCTCCAATGTTAGGGACTGTGATCAAATGATCCCCTGCCGGTATGATCGAGTAATAGATCCGAAGATCATGCGTAGAGAGATGTATATGGTTGAATGCATTTGAAGTTTATTGCCTAAAGGAAGCTCTGGTTTTTGATATTTTCAGGTCTGGAGTTGATTGGGATGGTTTGGATGTAACTCATATTGTTTAGCAAATGGAAATCAGTGTCCATGTGTTCTGGGTTGGAGACTATCAGGGTTTCCTCTGTTTTGGACCGACTTAGCTGATGTCGTAAGCGATTCGGATAGGTCCCATATCGCCCTGACGTAACATTTTAAGTCGGTAGGAGCAGCTCGTGTTTGTGTTTGGTTGGCTTAAAGATAAACCTTACGTTCGTCCGGGTTTTGAGCATAAACTCTGTCAGTTTGCAGCGCGAAAACCGCAAAACAAGACAGCTGGGGGAGGGTTTATTTGCTACGGCAATAATATCACTAGATATAGGATGGTGTTATCAACAAATAAATGTCATTTATTCTGCTAGGAGTTCTGTGAAGAAATCTTCATTTTCTTCTTAGTGTTTCGTCAAATCCTTGTTCGGAGTTAAGTTCCCATATAGATATAGGATGGAAGCTGAAATCGTGACCGTCAGAACTGGGCTAGGGTTCATTCAGCGGATGGGTCCTGCTCTTGTGCCAGTCCTTTTGATTTCTGTCGGATACATCGATCCTGGGAAATGGGTGGCGGTTATCGAAGGAGGAACACGTTTTGGGTACGATTTGGTGGCGATTATGCTGCTTTTCAATTTCGTTGCCATCTTGTGTCAGTATATAGCTGCTCGAATAAGTGTTGCAACCGATAGAAACTTAGCCCAGGTATTAAATTTCTTTCCCCTTGGATTCCTCTGATATTGAAGCATTAGTTAAGTCGAGATTTTTATAGTTTTTTTCCCGGAACGACAGGCTTTCATGGTTGGTGCTGCCTCATCGTGTCATTTTTTTATTTCTCGATTGGGTTTTCCGTCGAAATTATAAGATATATCGGCTTTTCGAATCATTCCAGAAGTAGCAATGATGCATTTATTCCCCTTTTTGAATGTTTGCGCCTCTCAGAGATCATATAGTTGTTGCCTGTTGGCATCTGCTTGGGGCCACTTTATGTTCTGAGGGTCTATTTGGTGATTCCAACTTGCAAATTATACCATTACCAACTACATCTCCATACATGGTTAAATGTTTTCTAAAATTTATTTCCTGCCTCACTTTTTTTTTGGTATATATGGAAATGACATATAATCAATCACCTTGCCTAGTTTCTCTCAACATTTTATGTTTTTTCTGTATATGGATAGATCTGCAATGATGAGTATGACAAGTGGACATGCATGTTCTTGGGAGTTCAGGCAGAGTTCTCTGCAATTTTACTCGATCTTACAATGGTAATCCCCCGCGTTTTACATTACATTTGATCTTTTCTCAGGAAATAATTTCCATTGCTCTGAGTTGAATTGAACATTCTCTATAATAAACAGGTTCTAGGTGTTGCAAATGCACTTAACCTTCTCTTTGGAGTGGACGTGGCTACCGGGGTGTTTTTGGCTGCCATCGATGCTTTCCTGTTTCCTGTCTTTGCCTCTTTCCTCGTACGACTGAACTTTATTCTACTTAATATTTTACTGTTCAGGCAGTTGCGTTAGCAGAAATGAGCTGACTTGTGTACGATTTTTCGCAGGACAATCGTGTGGCGAATACCGTATCCATTTTCTCGGCAGGCCTGATTTTGCTTTTCTATGTTTGTGGTGTCCTTTCAAGTCAGCCCGAGATCCCGTTCTCTATGAACGGAAGCTTAACAAGGTTGAACGGGGAGAGCATATTCGCCTTGATGAGCCTTCTTGGAGCAAGTGTCATGCCTCACAATTTTTATCTCCATTCTTATTTTGCCGGGGTACTTTCCATCTTTCCTCTTTTTTTCTTCTCTCTTTTTTCGGGTAAGGACAATCTATATTAAGCAGTGTGTCAACTTCATTGCAGGAAAGTACATCTTCATTAGATGTCTCGAAGAGCAGCTTATGTCAAGACCATCTTTTCGCCATCTTTTGTGTCTTCAGCGGTCTGTCCCTCGTAAATTATGTCCTGATGAATGCAGCGGCAAACGTGTTCCACAGTACCGGCCTTGTCTTTCTGACTTTTCAGGACGCCATGTCATTGATGGAGCAGGTTTGTTCAACTATTATCTCTTTTGAATTTGATGAGACGATTCTGAGAAATTCTCCATGATGAAAATAGCTTCTAACTTGTTTCTTTTATCTTTTCTCAGATTTTTAGGAGCCCTTTGGTTCCAGTGGCGTTTTTGGTGATCATGTTTTTCTCTAATCAAATTACTGCACTGGCTTGGGCTTTCGGCGGGGAGGTTATCCTGCACGACTTCCTGAAGATAGAAATACCCGGTTGGCTTCACCGTGCTACAGTCAGAATTCTTGCTGTTTCGCCTGCCCTGTATTGTGTTTGGACATCTGGGTCAGAAGGGATATACCAGTTGCTAATTTTCACGCAGGTGCTGGTTGCTATGATGCTCCCATCATCCGTCATCCCTCTCTTTCGTGTCGCCTCGTCGAGACAAATCATGGGCATCCACAAAATTCCCCAGATCTGCGAGTTCTTAGCACTTTCGACGTTCTTGGGGATTCTGGGTTTAAATATCGTTTTTGTCCTGGAGATGGCTTTTGGAAACAGTGACTGGGCTGGTGGTTTGAGATGGAACACAGTAATGGGCACGTCTTTGCCTTACATTGCTCTTCTTGTTTCCGCTTTCGCGTCTTTATGCCTGATGCTTTGGCTGGCAGCCACCCCGCTGAAATCCACGAGTAACAGGGTTGAATCTCAAGTCTGGAATCTGGATATTCAAAATGCTTTATCCTATCCTTCTGTCGAAGAAGAGGAATTTGATAGAAGCGAGACAAGGCCAGGTAAAGAAGAATCGATGGCTCTGACAGGAAACAGGGCAAAGGATCAGACGGATACATCTGTTGTTACAAGCTCATGCTATAACTTGCCAGAGACCATTTTAATGTCTGAACAAGAAATCGGATCGAGCCCTTTAAGGGAAAGCGATACCAGTGTTAACTTTTCTGCCCCTAAGGTGCGTCTCGGGGAAGATTCTGAAGTCGAAGAACAGTCTGTATCGCAATCGACGGTGGTGAACGAGGTTAGTGATCATGCTTCAGTTGTTGAATCCAAGGCAGTAAAGGCTGAACCCACAAGTCCTGTGGAGAAAGCTGTCAGTATAGAGAATAACAACAAGCGGGTAGAGAAGGAAGTCGATGAAGAAACACCCAAACCCGCTTCTCCGAGCAACTATTTACCTGTTGTCTCTGATGGGCCACCTTCATTCCGCAGCCTCGGTGGGAAAAACGAGGATGGTGGAAGTGGAACTGGAAGCCTCTCGAGATTGGCGGGTTTGGGCCGAGCTGCTCGGCGAAACCTGTCTGCAATTCTTGATGAGTTTTGGGGGCATTTATATGATTTCCATGGGCAAGTTGTGGCTGAAGCCAAGGCAAAAAAGCTGGATCTGTTACTCGGTGTCGACCAAAAGGCAGCTTGTTCTGTAAAACCGGATTCTTACAGAAAGGACATCAGTGGATATTGGGGATCAGAAACAGATGTTACCTCGAGCTTAAACAATTCTTTCAAGCAGCAGAGTGTACCGGGAAGCATAGATTCTTTGTACGGAGTACAAAGAGGTTCATCATCACCATTTTCCAACAGAATGCAATTGTTGGATCGATATGGTAACAGTCAACAAAATGCTTATGAATCGGGTGAGAGAAGGTACTCGAGTTTACGTGTTCCGCCATCTTCAGAGGGTCGGGACTATCAGCCAGCTACGGTACATGGGTACCAAGTTACGTCCTATCTCGACAGACTTGCGAAAGAAAGGCTTGAACTCTTGCATTCTCGTGGGGAAATCCCAACATCAAGATCTTCATCCCTTGGATCTATGAGTTATACCGAGCAACTCGCTTTAGCTTTGAGGCAGAAGTCCCAGAACGGGATAAACCCAGGACCAGCCCCCGGGTTTCACAATCTGGCTCCTTCTAGAAACACGCCTCTACAATCCGAAAGGTCGTATCTTGATGCTCCCTCATCCGGACCCATCGATAATGTCGGGATAGCAGCCAACGGGAAGAAGTACAATAGCATGCCAGACATATCAGGACTCTCTATGGCTACCCGAGATTCGCGTTGGGCGACAGGAGGATATGGCATGGGATATGGTCACGTAAGCAATGAAGGATCGTTATATTCGAGTTCTGGGTCGAGAGTACCGTTGGCTTTTGATGACGTTTCTCCATCAAGAAGCTACAGAGATTCCACCTTTACCTTGCCTCAGACCACAACTGCAAACACTGGTTCACTCTGGTCTAGACAACCATTTGAGCAGTTTGGCTTAGCAGAGAGAAATAGTGATGGCGAGGAACCTGGAAATGGATCTTCTGTTGTAGATGCTGAGGCTAAACTGCTTCAGTCATTCAGACACTGTATTCTTAAGCTTCTTAAACTGGAAGGATCTGACTGGTTGTTCGGACAAAGCGATGGGACCGACGAAGAACTGATCGATCGAGTAGCTGCGAGGGAGAAGTTCATCTACGAGGTTGAAAGCCAGGCGGGTCATGCGGGTAGTGAGCCTTTGGTTTCATCCGTTCCAAATTGCGGAGATGGTTGCGTATGGAGATCCGATCTGATTGTGAGCTTCGGTGTCTGGTGTATCCACCGTATTCTCGACTTGTCGCTCATGGAAAGTCGACCCGAGCTCTGGGGAAAGTACACCTACGTTCTGAACCGCCTCCAGGTAACACTTATAACCCGAGTGAATCTTTCGATTTCTTGGGGTCGGAATAGGTTGATAGTTTTCCCGCACTTAAGGAGTCTGATATCCTTGAACACAATTCGAAGTAGCCAATTCGATTAATAACCGAGTAACCTCGAATAACATATAACCGTATCCGAACCGAATCTGATAAAAAGCTGGATGAGTGATTTCTTTAGAAGATGAGAAACTGAAACTGAACCAAATCCAATATAATCGAAAAACCAAAATTTTATTTGAAAATGAATATGTGATTAATCTTTTGGCTGAATTGTAACTTGAACAGGGAGTGATAGAACCAGCTTTCTCGAAGCCACGAACACCGATGTCCCCATGCTTCTGCCTGCAGATTCCGGCTAGCCACCAGAGAGCGAGCCCGCCTTCCGTTTCTAACGGAATGTTACCTCCGGCTGCAAAACCTGCCAGAGGGAAATGCACCACCGCCGCCACGCTCCTCGAGCTCATCAAAGACGTAGAGATCGCCATCTCTTGCAGGAAGGGACGGAGCGGGACAGCGGCCGGGGACGTAGCTTTCCCCAAGGGGAAAGAGAACTTGGCCTCGGTTTTGAAGCGGTATAAGCGTCGGTTATCGAATAAACCAGTTATTATGAACCAGGATGGACCCGGTTCTAGAAAGAACCTAACCGGGACCGTGTACGGATCGTGAGTAGCCGCGGATGGTGCAGAAAGTTTCATCCTTTTTCTCTCGTCTTTTTTTTTCTTACCTTCTCATTTTGGATTGTAATGTTTTGTTACTACGGATGATAGGACGATAGCTTAACCGGACACACCCGGGATTTATAATTTGCTACGGAATCAAAATCTCCGGTTCGAATGGTTATTCTCTTAACCGGGTTTCCGTTCCGGTTTAGTCAGCTTTGTCTATGATAACAATGATGACACGTGGCTCCGAGTCGGTATATGTTTATCTATCCTCTTCCTCATGAATCGTCCCTTTTCAGAGTCGGCGGTGTGGTAGTCTCGTATTCATCCGAGTTAGTGATTCACTCCGACTCGACCGAGTCATGGGTTACGTGATCTTCATATCGTTTCCGGCGATCCTTCTCCTTCTGATCATCGCCATCGCTTTCTATCTCATCGGACGGAACATCGGCCGCCGACAAGCTGCCACGCCTCCGCCGCACTTCCACTACGGACCTCCGGCGCCGCCGCCGGTGAGCCTTCCGACGCCTTCGTCTCCGCCGCACAAAGCCCAGGAGAAGCCGCCGGAGGTTTAGCTCCGGTGAATCCAGACGGGATTTCTCCTACACGGATGTATTTTATGACGTTTGTAATATACAATACGAATATCTTATAAATATATATATACAAGACGAATATGAGTTTTTGTGTGTGTTTTTGTGCTTTTGTTTGTTACAACCTTTATGTTATAATTAAATTCAATAAGGCTTTGAGAAGTTGTTATACCTTGATACTGGGCCTGATACGGGCCGGGTCTAAAAAAAGGTGAACAGCGTGACGTTTAGAAATTCGACGTATTTACTTCTTGCCGTTTGGATTTAGTCCATCCCTGGTAGATTTTCTCAAAACTACACGGCGTTTCTACGTAAAAAGAAATGCTGTATTAAACGACAACTTTTTGGCCCGACGCAGAACACACCCTCTCTCCCTCTTCTCGCGAGAAAAATTGCCGCGTCGTTCTGAGGCTCGAAGCGATGACCATGGCAGCGCAGCTCGCGAGACGGCTGATCGGAAGCCGATCGACCCAGATCCCTGGAACTGTCAACCCTAGCTCCGGTACGCTAACGTCGTTCGCTAGGGCCTTTTCTTCTTCTTCGATCACCGCAACTCTCTTCCCCGGCGACGGGATCGGTCCCGAGATCGCCGAATCCGTCAAACAGGTCCGTACTTCTTTATTGGGTTTGTAGAATTGTTCTTCGTTCATGTATGGGAAGGAGAGGATGGGTATAATTGTTTTGTTTGTTGGGTTTGCAAGTTTGATCGGGTTTCTTTTTTTGTCTGGTTTGACTGATGTGATAATTGGGTTTTTTGGATATTGTTTTCGAGGGGTTGACCGCAGTTTTCTGATATTATGGCTTGCAATAGTGACTTTTGGAATAATGATTACCGGGGAATTGTTGCTATACGTTGACTGTGGAATTTTAGAACTCCGTAATTTTTTGATGAATTTTGGGGAGATAAGAATCTGGCCACGTAAAATTTCATGCATTTCCTGGTGCTAAGACCCTGATGTCTCCTAAAGTTTCTGCCTTTTTGTGCCGATCCAGGTGTTTAACACCGCTGGGGTGCCCATTGAATGGGAAGAACACTGCGTTGGGACCGAAATAGATCCTAGAACGCAGAGCTTTTTGACATGGGAAAGTCTTGAATCTGTCCGGAGAAATAAGGTTGGCTTGAAAGGGCCAATGGCAACACCCATCGGGAAGGGCCATCGTTCTTTGAACTTGACTCTTAGAAAAGAGCTGAACTTGTATGCCAATGTTAGGCCTTGTTACAGTCTTCCTGGCTACAAAACCCGGTATGATAATGTTGATCTTATAACCATCCGTGAAAACACTGAAGGAGAGTACAGTGGGCTCGAACATCAGGTTAGTTTTTTGGTGTTGCAGTCGAGATTTTGAACCTTTCTTTAAGTGTTCTTTTGAGAAATGTTCTGACATTTGTTTCTTGCTTTTGGCATGCTTGCTAGGTTGTTAGAGGAGTTGTGGAAAGTCTTAAAATCATTACTCGTCAGGCAAGTTTGAGAGTCGCTGAGTATGCCTTTCACTATGCCAAGACTCATGGAAGAGAGAGAGTATCCGCAATTCACAAAGCCAATATCATGCAGAAAACCGATGGTCTATTTCTCAAGGTTTGCTCATATGGACCACATTAACTTCTTAACGAAATAAAATGAAAGAAAATTAGTCACATTTAGCTTGTTTTTGGCCATTTGTTCTTATACTTGGTGCCATTTTTTTTTTTCCTTTGTTCAGTGCTGTCGTGAAGTTGCGGAGAAGTATCCTGCGATTGTATACGAGGAGGTTGTTATTGACAACTGCTGTATGATGGTATGTTAGCGCCCCCCGGAACAAACCCTAATCTTCGTTATACATTATTCAATCAAACTTTGCATTTCTTGACCGGGTTATAGTGGCATTAGTGCTGGGTTAGCTTGCAGATTTGAGCATTTGCATTTTTTCAGCAACTTGTACTAGGAGTTCTGTTTTTCCACTATAACTTAAACGGGGAACGATATAATTCTAGAAAAAGGCTTATGCGGAATATGTGACTGACAACGTCGATACCGACAGCTTGTGAAAAACCCGGCACTTTTTGATGTCTTGGTGATGCCAAACCTCTATGGTGACATTATCAGTGATTTGTGTGCTGGACTGGTCGGGGGACTGGGGTTGACTCCAAGGTAATGCCGGATCCTCCATCTCGTATAATCTTTTTGTTTTTTCGAGTATGAGCTTATCTATCTAATGCCCTTATGTTGTCTGATGCAGTTGCAATATCGGGGAGGGTGGTATTTGCCTAGCTGAAGCTGTCCACGGTTCTGCCCCTGATATCGCCGGAAAGGTTAGTCCTTTTCAAGCTATTGATTGATTCTGTCTGCATCATTTTTAGGGTTTTGTTACATAGTAGTCTCTTAGCCTAAGTTTGAATCAAGCTTTTGATGATTCTCATCCTCTGGTAACACCGTTGATACAATGCAGTGAATAGTCTGCTTTTAGTTTGAGAATGGTAAAGACATGTTGATTTAGAATTATAGATAATAGAATGTAGATTTAGAATTTTTATTTGGAGAACTTTGGTGCATTGTCAGTTCCCGTTGGATAATCATTCTTGTAATACCGATAAGCCATGCTCATTAGGGTTGAGGAAAAAACCCGAATTTGGGGTACCCGAGCGTTATATGAGATGGTCGGTTATAACGTGAGGAAAACCTGAAAATCGGGTTTGGATTTGGGTAAAGATCAGATATCATCCGTGGGCACTAAATGAACAGTAAAAATGATATATTTGCCTCTGGAATGTAGAGATATGATATACAACGTATTGAAATCTCTTGAATTTTAGATAACTGATCCTAGTTAACTCCTAATATATGATATATGTTTTGAAAAAAATTAAAAACTTCATATTTAAACAAAGGGCTCTTTCTAATATCCATGTACCTGAAAGTTATCTCGGGTTTTTGACGAAAGCAGATCTGAAATAGGGTAATATCTTGAGACCTGAGACATTGGGATTCTATTCGAGTAACCTGAAAACCTCGGGTACCGGACCCATGCTCACCATTGTTCATGACGAAGTAATGTAACTATGGGAATGAAAACTTTTCATTCGTGAAACCAAATATGTATTTCTTTCGGATGATTTTCTCCTCTGGGCACGGCCTTTTTTTGGATTCTGATGCTTTTTTATTGGTCTGGTGTGCAGAATCTGGCGAACCCGACCGCTCTGCTTCTGAGCGGGGTGATGATGCTTCGCCATCTACAGCTCAATGAGCAAGCCGAGCGCATCCACAGCGCCATCATCAACACCATTGCCGAGGGCAAGTTCAGGACGGCCGATCTCGGCGGAACCTCAACCACGACAGAGTTCACTAACGCCATTTGCCATCATCTTTGAAACCTTCCCCGTAAAAGATCGATTCTTTCCGTTCTACACATTTGCTCCGGAGTCTCTTCCTGGAGTGGAGGATTTAGTCTTTCATTCTTGATGGGTTTTTTCTCCTCACTCGAGTTTTTCGTTTTTTTCCCCCCTCCTCTTGTTAAGGAGAAACATAACTGGTTGGTATCGGCTTTGTTATTGATATGTCTCAAAGTGTGTTAATGTCTTTCCCGTAAGGCAAGAGAGATCCATCATCGCCATGTAATTCGGTAGTTTTTCTTTGTTTTTACTGCGATTCTTGTTTATTTCTCCAAAATAAAACATAACATACTCACAGGTAATAATACTGTTGTAATTTTACAGTGACGGTCCTTCTGTTTTACCCTTTTATACTATTCATTGTTCTCCATCTCTTTGTGTGCTCCTCTTGAAACTTACGAGAACGCATTGAATATTACATTTTAATAAAACTCATTATATTAAAATATTTAAAGTGGAGGGAATTTAGGTTTTCGCTTCTGACTCCACTTTGATTTTTAATCTCTGTTCAGTTTTTATACCAAAACTGATTATATTTTTATTGATTAAAATATTCATTTAAAATTTTGGTTTTTTATTATTTTTATCGGTTTGGAATAATTTTTTAAAAAAATATATATCATTTTTTATATACAGTTTGATTTGGACATTGTTGAACCTTAAATGATCTTATTTTTTCTAATCAAATTGAGCCCTAAGGCCTAAGTGATAAGCATACTATCAATTTGTTATGTCTATAAAGCGAAAAAAAACATAAAAATTTTGGAACATAATAAAACAATTTTGGAAAATTATAGATTCTAAAAAAAGAAAGAATGTGGGGGGAAAATGAAAATTACATGATAAAAAATGTAAAAGGAAGATGGAGGTTGGTGGAGATTGGAACCTCACCAACCATAGTTATGGTTCCGTTACCTATTTACGTAATTCAGCCCCGTTTTCATATTCCAACATTCAGTTAAATTAAAAATTTGATTTACATCATTGTTATAACTATTTAAATGTTTTAAAAATTACATATTAATACTGTTTTCCAATAATTGACAAATCAAATTAATTATTAAATTAGAATGACAACACCAACAACAATCTATCAAGAACAGAGGAGATCAACAACTGTATGTATCGAATTATTTTCTAGGTGTGATATATTTGTCATTTAATTATAATAATTTTGTTATTGATAATTAAATTAAGTTATTGAGAAAAAAAACTGGAGAGAGAATCCATCGTATACCTACTTTTGGCTCTCACTATAAACACACTCTCTTCACCGACCGACACCACTGTTTTGCCTTCATTTGCCAGATCTAATTCTAACCTTAGAAAACCTCTTCTTCGTCTCCTTCGCTCTCTCTCTCTCCCTGTTCTTCCCTAGTCCGTCATCCATGGCTTCTTCCGATTTCGACGGAATCATTCTCGGCATGGGAAACCCTCTCCTCGACATCTCTGCCGCCGTCGACGAAGATTTCCTCAACAAGTACGCTCAGATCTGTCTTTCCTCCTCCTTTTTTTTTCTTCCCACTTTTTCCGTTCACCTCGTGTTCCGAGTTTGTAATTTGTGTTTGTGTTTCTGTTTTATCGATTTTTGTTTGTTCTTTTCGAATTGTGACAGATACGACCTCAAGTCGAACAATGCGATTCTTGCGGAGGACAAGCATTTGCCGATGTAAGGATCACTTGTCTTGTCTTATTTCATATTTGATTTTCTTAATTCAAAACTGGCTATTGCTGTCTTCGTTGTTATTGCACTCAACTTCGTTGACATGCCTTGCATTGGAAGTTACACGACGGAGAAAGACTGGATTTTTTATAGGTTTTATGATTGGATTCGGTTTTCTTTTGACGTGGGTATGTGCAAGAGATCTAATTTGTTTGCTTGTTGATATGGGCATTCCATTTTGTTTCTTCACGTCAAGTTCAATGAATTGAGATGGGAAAGCTGTGCTATCTGTAACATCTCAAATTTGTCTGTGTTTATATACCAATGTGTAAGTAAAATTATTTGATGTATTATAGAGTTTTGAATACAGTAAATGGTTGAAGCAGATACTGAAGGCGGTCTTTTCATCAGAAAAGAGATATTTTGTCGTTTGATGACATTAGATTCTCTTCTTCCTGTTCTGGAGTTTCTGTTAGCTTAGTTGTCGGCTCATATATGTGATCTCACATGGAAAGGGTATTTTCTTAGGTACGAGGAAATGAGTGGCATGGACAATGTCGAATACATTGCCGGAGGTAATTCATATTCAATGCTCTTTTATATTGGTGTACGCTCTCACTGGATATGTAATGGCAATATATTGATGCCTTACTGTGTCATCGATGCTCTTTTCAGGTGCTACCCAGAACTCGATCAAAATCGCCCAAGTATGTTCTTCTTATGCGATTTTCTCATGTTCCTTTGAGCAAATAAGTCCAGTTGCCAGAAAATGATGTCTTTTCTTTTTGCAGTGGATGCTTCAAATCCCCGGAGCAACTAGTTACATGGGATCTATTGGAAAAGACAAGTATGGAGAGGCGATGAAGAAGAATGCCACTGAAGCTGGTGTTAACGTAAGCTATTTACTGTCCGTATCTGGCCTCTTATTTTCGGTTGCATTCATCTATTTCTGGTGCTCTTTTTTCCCAATGAGGTTATTGCTTCCTTATCATCAAACTATATTCTCGAATTTCACGAATGAGACCAGAGTGCTGGTGTTAACTGTTGTGTATTCTAAATCAGGTCCACTATTATGAAGATGAGGCAGCTCCTACCGGGACGTGTGCCGTCTGTGTTGTTGGCGGAGATAGGTCAGCTTACCATCAAATTTCAGTGACTTTAGTATTTCGTCTTAGGATGATCTCAAGCTTCGGAGCTTTGTGTATGTTTCTTGAACTCTTTCTGCAGGTCACTTATCGCGAATCTCTCTGCAGCAAACTGCTACAAGGTTGAGCATTTGAAGAAGCCTGAAAACTGGGCGCTGGGTAAAACTATGTTCCATCTTTAGTTACTTTCTTCGATCAGTTTAACTGGATTTTGTTTCTGAGGTTTTGTATGGTTTCCACTTCTTGGTGATCTGACAACATGTGTTATATGTGCTGTGCAGTTGAGAAGGCCAAGGTCTATTATATTGCTGGATTCTTCCTCACTGTCTCACCGGAATCCATCCAGTTGGTGTCTGAACATGCCGCGAAAAACAACAAGGTATAAAAATATATTGTCTTTCATGAATCCATTCAGTTGGTGTCTGAACAGGTTATGGTAATATTTACTTTTAACCAGTGCCTTGCAAATTAACAACGCTAATACCTTCACATATCTGACAGGTGTTCACAATGAACCTTTCTGCTCCATTCATCTGTGAATTCTTCAAAGATGTTCAGGAGAAGTTCTTGCCGTAAGCAATCCTACTATGTGTCCAATTTTGTTGTACGATTGGATAAAGTTATCCTAATGAAAACATTTATATGGTGTCTGCCCGGTCAGGTACATGGACTTTGTTTTCGGAAATGAGACCGAAGCAAGAACCTTCTCTAGGGTTCACGGTTGGGAGGTAACGACTAATCTAGAGAACTGTTTTTTTGCTGGTCTTTGAATAAAAAAAAAACATTAACCCGGATGTTTCTAACTTTCTATGGATCCAGACGGATGATGTTGAGCAAATAGCCCTTAAGATTTCTCAGTGGCACAAGGCCACGGGAACGTACAAGAGGACCACTGTCATTACCCAAGGCGCTGACCCAGTTGTTGTTGCTGAGGATGGAAAGGTGAGGAAGTACCCTGTCACCCCCCTTCCAAAGGAGAAGCTTGTTGACACCAACGGTGCAGGTATTCCCCACTCTCCCCTCAATCGTTGATTAGAAGAATCAAAGCATGTTTAGTGATTATACTAGGATTAAAATCATAAAACACTGATAAACACCCCCTTAAAGATTTATCTTAGAGATTTCTAAACTCCTAATAATCCCAACTTTCCAAAACCCGATAAAACCCAAATAACTAAGTCCCTGAAACATAGGAGTCTGTCAAATACTGATACATGGCAAGTGCTATAACTACATTCTTCATCAAACCACTGTTAGTGAACCCGGGGCAAATATGGAAGGGTCCTCAAGTGCTGGTCCGACCCATTTGCCAATTGTCTTGTGAAACCAATGAATTCATTGCCGTTTTTCTCCACTTGTTCCTCACAGGTGACGCCTTCGTGGGAGGATTCCTCGCCCAGTTTGTGCTCGGGAAGCCAATAGAGGAGTGCGTGAGGGCCGGGTGCTACGCCTCCAACGTAGTAATCCAGAGGTCGGGCTGCACTTACCCAGAGAAGCCCGACTTCAACTAAACCGGTCGGTTCTTCTCGCTTGTATCCCCACATTGAAATTTTTGGCTATCAGTAGACCCAAATAAAAAAGCCTTGCCATTTTTGTGCAAGCCCGTTGTTGTTTTGCCTCTCTACTCCCCACCCTAGCAGCTTGTCCCCAAGTGTTTCTTGCTTCTTGTTTCTTTTCCTTCTTTCTTTTAATGGCATCGTCATCATCATTATGATTATTATTGTTATTCTTAAAGGGATCAAATGCCTTTCTTCTTAAAGGGATCAATATTTTTTTTAACTTAGAAATATACTTTTTATACCATTTTTATATTCATTTTTAGGTTTAGATCGGATTATTAAAAGTTTCAACAATTTCAGGCCTGACCTTAATGTTGTAATGACACGTCACAAATTATGAATTGATTAAAATTACGGGAAAAAGCCCAAGAAAAAAAGGTTTACGGCCAAGAAAATAACAATATTCAGTCTTAAATTATATACGAACCAAAAATGTGAATATTCAATGTACAGATATCACATATGCATATTTACTGTTTGGTATCAATCAATTGTTTCTAAATGGAATTATCAATTTATCTCAAAATTATTATATGTAAATTTTTATGTTTAGTTTCTTTTTATCATTTTACTACTCGAACCTCTAATTTTTTTCATTACAAAAATTATATTTTTTTGGTAAAACAATTGTAATTAGGTTCAGTAGAAATTATTATTTTACAAAAAATATCTATTTTTTGCAGTGTTTGAATGAAGTAATTAATACAAGGGCATGACTTCTACTAATTAATGTGGCAATGTTAATTTAAAAACCAAAAACCATGAAACATTTTTAATTAGGTTCAGTAGAAATTATTAGTTTACAACAAATATCTATTTTTTAGGAATGTTTGAATGAAGTAATTAATACAAGGGCGTGAGTTTTTAATAATTAATATGGCAATGTTTATTTAAAAACAAACAAAAACCATGAAATCGGAGATATACTCATCAATTACAACGATCACATGTCATTTGATTTTATGACGTTATTTATATATTTTTTTTTTTGCATTTGCTTACATAAATTCCCAAATAACATTTTAAAAATGATGGAATGTTAAGAAAGGGGCAATGCGTCTTCATATACATACGGAGCGGTCTTCTGAGTTGAGTGCCCTCCCTCTCTCGAAAAAAAAATTTCTGGGTTCCTCGAAGGAAAAAGCTGAGCACTTTACGTTGATTCGAATGATTCCTCGGTCTTTTTCTTCATAATCATCGGCTAATCTTTTAATGTTTAGGCGGAAGAAGTGAAAACCCATTTGAATTACGAATCTTTCCTGCGTAAATCTTATCTTTTTTCTTCCAGAAATCCTAAAAAGTTTCCATTTTTAGTAAGAACAAGTTCTTGTTTTGAGTTTGGCAGACAGCGCAAGTGAAAGATGAGTTTCTTGGTTTTGGGCCATCACTGTTTGTGGTCATAGTAGTCATCTTTGCATATTGCTGAAAACTTTTCGGTTGCATTCCTTCTGAATTGAATGATTTATATTCCTAGGGTCGCTAGAATTTCATGGCGGATTCTCCTTCTTCTTCTTCTTCTTCTTCTTCTTCTTCTTCTTCTTCTTCTTCTGTGTGTTATATCTGAATCTACTTCGAGATGTTTTCTGGGTTTAGATTACCGATTTTTCAAGTTTCCAAACTATTGCGGAATTTATTTGGCACGAATTTTGCTTTTGTCGATTCAATATGGGCGAACTGGACGGAATCGTGGTTACAACGTATGCAGGGAATCTTTTTTTTTTTGTTAAATATGCAGGGAATCTTATAAATGCATAGCCTCTGTTTTGAATCTTCGTTGCTTTGTTGATGATATCATGTGTTTGGGTGTGAGAAAATCGTTGGAGATGGTTTGTTTCCGAGTGAGAAAATGCGGGAAAATTTCCTCTTTTTCTCCAGACAAGCCCACTGTTGGATTCCCGGAAAAAAGGGAATTTTCTCGAGGAAAAACCAGCCACTGAATAGGAAAAAACTGGGAAATTCTCCGACTTGGAATGTTTGTTTCATGATAAAGTTTGATTCTTGTTACTTTGTGACAGATCAAGAATCCAATGCTGCTTCTGATAGTGTGTGTGTGTGTGTGAGTGTATGGTATACATTCTGGAATCATTTCCTTTTCCATTTTTGATTCCTTTTCTGTGCAGTTTGTTCTGTTTGAAGATGGGCTCACATGAAGAGAGCTCGAGTATTGCAGATTGGTTTTTTGGTTCTCATCCATACACAAATTACCCTCCTTACAACGTCGAGATCATTCAAGATCATTGCTGTAATGATCACACGCAGCGTCAGCAGCAACCTGGAGAGTATAACCGAAATCCCGATGTAGAAAGTGACGTGATGATTGCTTGGACTCTTCAAGACAGCTTTTTTCCGCTCGAGACTGCAGAAAACAAGGAACGGTCGCCTGACACTGCTTGTGTTTGGAACGACCAACTGACCGGGATTTACTCCTTAGGTTATTCCGGCTTTCTTGTCTATCGGTTTTCACCCCTTTTGTATGTGTCGAGATGGAATACTAAGACGGGTTTGTGTGTGTTTTTGCTTTGTAGAATGGGTTGGGAATGGTAGAACTGATGATTCGGTTTGTATCTATCGATGTTCAGACCCAAGTGGCGCGGAAGAATCTCCATATTCGCGGGAATCAACTGATCGATGTGATCTAGATGGTGAAGTTGGAAGAAGACTGAACCGAATGAGCTCTATTCCGGTAAATAGACACTTGCTATGTTCATAAGCTACGGGTTACTTGTCTGTCTTGTGGCGTTCCGATTCATTATGATGCCAAATCTCACGACTACTGTCTGCAGCATGTACCGAAAATCAACGGGGAAATACCTTCAGATGACGAAGCAGTAACAGATCATGAAAGACTTTTGAACAGGTACTCCTCTTTACCGATGTTTCTTGTTGCAAGTGTTTGTTCTTGAATGAACTAAAATGACACTAGGTTTCTACCGTAGATGGTTTTAGTTATCTCGATGCTTAATCTGCGTTTTAATTTCCGTTTCTCCGAGCTCCAGATTAAAGGCATATGGATTCCGGGAGGTAAGAGTTCAAGGAGATGGTAATTGCCAGGTACCCTCCATCATAACTATACAATCGCATTCGTGATATCTTGGAAGAACTACCGGTTTTTTGAATCTTAATGCTTCTGATTTTTCAGTTCCGTGCTTTATCTGATCAACTCTACAACAACCCGGAACGTCACGAACAAGTTAGACACGAAATAGTGAATCAGGTTTGATCTTTGCTCTTGATGATTCTGGTTTCAGATCTTGCTCTTAAAACTCTTGCACCATTCAGATCTCGAGTCTTTGAAACTCTCAAACCTTTTTTTTTTTTGCTTTTACATTTTTGACTTCCCGGGTCAACCAGCTCGAGTCTTGTCGGAAATCATATGAAGGATACGTTCCCATGGACTATTCCGAGTATCTGAAGAAAATGTCTCGGTAAATCTCTTCCTAACACTTGCTCTTGTCCTGAAAACATGTTTATGCATGTTTTATTAACATACTCTGTACTAAAACTGTCGAAAACAGGAGCGGAGAATGGGGCGACCATGTTACACTGCAGGCAGCTGCTGATACGGTAAGAACGAATGATCGTTAAAACTCTTTAACAAACGCTATGAAGATACTCGCTTTACTTCCCTCTGTACATTCTTTCAATGACCCGAGGGAAAACTTCTTCGTGCAGTATCGGGTGAGGATACTCGTCGTTACGTCGTATAAGGATACTTGTTACATTGAGATTCTCCCCACGTCCCGGGATTACAAGAGATGTAAGCTTTCTTGCTCTAAAGCTTTAACCAAAGAAAGCTGTTCTTGTAACCCTCCAGATGATTGAGATGGTTTGCAACTTTTTTCCGCAGCCATTTTCTTGAGCTTCTGGGCGGAGGTACACTACAACTCGATCTACATTGAAAGAGGTAATTCACTTGGAAGAAGAGTTCACCATTGTGGTGTGTAAACTCCAGGCTTATTCTGACAGAACTCTCGTTAATAGCATCAGTTTACACTATGAAACCGGGCATTGTCCTTGCTGGTTTTGGATTGCAGATACGCCTTCTTCACCTCCTGACCTTCAGAAGAAGAAGAAATGGTGGCATTTCGGCAACTAAACCAGTGTTTTTCTTTTTTGGGAGCTTTGCTTCCGATTCTAAGACATTACTAAAGAGAGCCTCTGGTGCAGAAGATAAAGCCACACCAATATACATACGTACGTACATACATGTGTGTATATATATATATATATATATAAGTTTTCATTCTCGAATGCTTCTGAGTAAGATTGAAGAACTGAAAGCATGTAACTTTCATATTCTTCATTGGCTTCGTATAAGCATATATATATATATATATATCTTTGTTCACTCAAGAGATTATATTTGCCTTCAACTTAGATATTGAACTCAGAACTCAAAAGACTCGAGACTTGAAAAGTTGGAACACAAACCCTGAAGTGAGCTAAAAATGGAAACAGATTCTGAAACTTGCTCAAAGGAATCTGTCTATGCATTCATAACAGTACACAGAACTTTGAAACGAGAGAGAGAGAGAGAGAGTTGAGTTAACTTGGGAACCGTATAACGTTTTCCATAGCAAGATACGTAAAAGAAGAGACTCGCCACTGAATAAGTTATTGAGGCCAAATCAACTGTAGAGGTCGTCATCGTCGGGAGCCACCGTGGAAGTGGCAAAAGGGTCGGCTGCTCCAGTGGTGGCACCCGCTCCGGTAGCTTCCGAAAACCTGAACTCGGTCCCAAACCCTCTCGATTGCTGCAGTGTCTGAGCGAAAGCTTGGTACTTGCGGATATCAGCATCACTCACACTTCTGCGTGCATATTTCATCGATTCCTCAAAATGAGCCGCTCTAATCTCCGCCACCTCATCCTCAGCCTCGTCTTCCTCCATCGCCTCCGGGTTTTCGCTCCTCTTCCTCTCCTTCTCAATGTCCTGAAGAAACCACCATTGTCACAAAACCTTGCTTACTTATATTAAACCTTGCTCAATAACTATGGTGCATTTGTTCTCAGATCTGCCTCAAGAAGTCTACCTTTACTAGTACAAGTTCAAGATTCATCTACGCGATATAACAGAACTTGAAAGAAGAAAAATATTTACCTTCTCGATGTTTTCTCGGATAGCGTATTTGCAAGCCCTCTGACAGATCTCAGTGATATCAGCACCACTGAATCCCTGTGTGTATTTGGCAAGTGCCATGATGTCCACATCTTTAGCCACGGGGGATTTCCTCAGGCAAGCCTTGAAGATCTGGAGACGAGATTCTTCGTCGGGAAGGGGAATGTAGATGAGCTGATCAAGCCTTCCAGGACGGAGGAGAGCCGGGTCGATGATGTCTGGCCTGTTGGTCGCTCCAATGATAAAGACCGTCTTTTTGGCGTTCATTCCATCCATTTCAGTAAGGAGCTGGTTCAGCACTCTATCCGCAGCTCCACCCGCATCACCGACACTGCTTCCTCTCTGGAAAAAAAAAACCAAGTTCACAAAGTTGGCGCCATGGATAAAAAAGGATCATCAAACACACAATGAGGAAGTCGAACGTGTTGTTACAAAACCTGAGTGGCAATAGAGTCGAGCTCATCGAAGAACAGGACACAAGGAGCAGACTGACGGGCCTTGTCAAAGATTTCACGAACATTAGCTTCGCTTTCTCCGAACCACATGGTGAGAAGCTCAGGACCTTTGACACTGATGAAGTTAGCCTGGCACTCATTAGCAATAGCTTTGGCCAGAAGAGTTTTTCCACATCCAGGAGGGCCGTAGAAGAGGACTCCCTTTGATGGAGACATTCCAAACTTCTCAAACTTCTCAGGGTGCTCCACTGGGTATTGAACAGTCTGCATTGCCGCAAAGAAAAGGCATGGATCAAGATCAATATATCTCTTTCACTTATTAATACGAACTTGATTATTTGTTCCAAGAAAGCATGGAAATAACCGATAGTTACCTCCTGAAGCTCTCTCTTGACGTTCTCAAGACCTCCGATATCCTCCCAAGAGACATTGGGCACCTCAACAACCTGTAAGAGCAAACAATTAGAGATACCCAAAAGTGCTGAAAGAACCCTCGAATCCGAAAGAAGAAAACTGCAAAAACTCACGGTTTCACGAAGAGCAGAGGGGTTGCTGTTTCCAAGAGCAGTCTGGAAGTGTTCATTAGTCACTGCCATTGAGTTGAGGATTTCAGCATCTATGGAGTCATCTTCCAAGTCAATCACGTCCATCTTCTCCCTGATGCATTGAAGGGCAGCCTCCGTGCATAGAGCTGCAAGATCAGCACCAACATACCCGTGTGTGTCCTTGGAAATCCTCTCAAGATCAACCTGTGTAACAAAAAGCATGTGCCGAGTTCAGACCAAGTAAACATACACCAGAGAACATAAACAAACAGACAGGGAAAGAAGTAAAATTTACATCTTCTGCTAGCTTCATGTTCTTCGTGTGGATTCTGAGGACTTCGAGACGTCCAATTTCATCAGGAACACCAATATCGATCTCCCGGTCAAATCTTCCAAATCGTCTCAAAGCAGGGTCAATGCTGTTAGGGCGGTTGGTTGCTCCCATGACAATAACATGGGAACGAGCTTTGAGCCCATCCATAAGAGTAAGGAGCTGGGAGACAATCCTCCTCTCAACCTCTCCATTTGTCTTCTCTCTTTTCGGTGCTATAGAATCAATCTCATCGATGAAAATGATTGATGGAGCATTCTTCTCAGCTTCCTCAAATGCTTTCCGCAGGTTACTCTCACTCTCACCAGCAAGTTTGGACATAATCTCAGGTCCATTGATACAGAAGAAGAATGCTCCAGTTTCGTTAGCTACAGCACGGGCAATTAAAGTCTTACCAGAACCAGGAGGTCCATAAAGCAGAATTCCTTTTGGTGGTTTCACACCAATTGACTTGAATAGTTGAGGATGCCTAAGGGGAAGCTCGACCAGTTCCCTAATCTGAGCCATCTGCTTCCTGACACCACCAACATCATCATAACCAACTTCATCAAGCCTTTCTTCATCCTCCCTCTTCACTGGCTCTCCCTCACAGAAAATCTCTGTGTCGGGAGCAACCACACAATACTCAGCAGGATCAGTCTCAATAACTTTGAACTCCACACTCCTCATTCCTCCTCTGACAAGGAAGAGATCACCCTTTCTTACTGGGCGGTACGCTTCCAAGAAATAAGCTGCACATGTAAAACTTTTGCTTCAGAAATCACTCTTGAGTTACAACCACCATGACCATCTCAAACCAGACGACAACTTCAACACATCAACTACAATATGATAGAAGCAGAAGAAGCTCAACTTACGTTTCAGGTAGGCATCGAAGAGGTTTCCAGTAACACCTTCAATCGTATCATCGATTGGCAGAATGTGAACACGCTTTCCATACTTGACATCTGGGCATTGGTGAACAGAAACAACATCTCCCAGTCTAACCCTCAAGTTAGACCTGACAACCTTGTTCATTCTGATTTTGGGTTCCTCACATGTTTCATCGGCAAGGGCAATGCAGACGGTGTCCTTCCTTTTCTTACCCTGAGAACCAAAATCCATAACAAATAAGAAATCTTGAAGGAAAACAGATAAATGGAACCCGGTACTACTGGGAAAGTAACCAGATGAACAATAGCCATATATAGACAGTTCGCTAGTTCCTTCTCTCTAAGATCTTTAGTTCTCTAATTCTGCAGTTGTTAAACAAGTTTCTCAGTACATCCATCCCCTCAAGCACAACAACAGTAGGTAAGCAATCGATTTCAAAACTCTAACCTTTCAACTAAAAATCTCAAGAGATTCACACAAGAAAGCATCAGTCCACATCAATACCCGAATTGCAACAAACGGGGGCGTAACAACAGAAACCGACCTTATATCAAACCATCGAAGCATAAAAACAAAGGGATACAGATTAACATCATCAAATTTCCGATTCAAGCAAAGCAATGGAACAAAAAAGGAAGCAAAAAAGATTTAACCTTGATGAGGATCGTGTCACCACGGAAGAGCTGAAGCTTCTCCATGGTCGCAGGGTGAAGAGAGACAACAGAGTTGTCATCGTTGACGGCTTCATCGACAACGAGTCGGTTCGGAGCCTTCTTCCTCTCCAGAATAGCAGTACTGAAGTCCCTCTTCGATTTCCTGAAACAGAGCAACAAACCCAGAAACGGGGATGAGCAAAACCGCGAGATCAACCAAAACCCGAGAATCCCAAAACCAAATGATCGCAACTTCTCGATCGGGGAAAACAGGAATCGGAGATCTGGGCACTTACGAATCGGAAGATTCAGCTTGGTTAGACATGGCGATTCTCGAATTGACCAGAGTTTCCTCTCAGAAAAGAAAGTTTGGAATTTTTTTTCCTCAAGCTCTCTGAGAGATCGATTCCTGGGTATTAGCGATAATGGGATCTGAAGTAGAGCCTTGGGAATTTATATAGATGTTTCTTGTTGGCGAAGAAGAAGGGGAATTTCTTTTCCTTTTTCCTTTTTTCCTTTTTTTTTTCTTTTACTTTTCTCAAATTTCCTTTTTTATAACTTACCGTAAACTTCAAAGACATCCCCGCTTTCTATAAGATCTCGAAAGATATCCCCAGACTTATTAACATACATAGGTAGTCCCTTTAGTTATTATTACATTGTACTATTTGGATGGAGAAAACAATAAAATGTTATAGAAATGATCAATATCTGAAAATGAAACTCTCTAAATAAGAAAATTTTCCGAATACATACATTAGATCTTAACTCAAAAATGGGCCTCATTGAACCTTTAGGAAGTATATAGTTATTTTCATAATAACGTAAAATAGGGAGGCGACGATAAGAGCTTTTGCTTTTGTTACGGTGGTGCAATTGCATTCCGTAAGAAAGGAATAGAAGAAGGTGTTGGTACTGAGTTTTGTGTGGAATAACCATTGGTTTTGGTAAGCATAAACCGGTAAAATGGTTTTCACTTAAGCACTTTGACCGGTTAATTCCGGTATTCTCTAAAACCAGTTCTCTCTCATCGTATGGACACCTGAGCTGAGCAATTAACATTCGTTGTCTCCTTGTGGTTCCTGATTAGGGTAAATCTCGACGACGACGACTGCGAGAATAATTTCGGGAAAAGGAAAATCCGAATTCTCCGTCGAGAGATATGGGGCTAGGATTAGCGATTGGAGTTTTTGGCGTCCTGATTCTCGCTCATGCTGCTTATTCCACGATTCAGTGTACTTTGATTCATCCCAAATCCAATGTAGATGTATTCAGATCTAATATTTCTGGGGTTTTCCTTCTTACGTGGGTTTTCTTTTTTGGTTTACTTATTCTCCAGATAGAGGATTGTTGAAGATCATGGAGGAGGAATTTTCTGGCCCGCCCATGAACGTGAGTATCGGTTAATGATCTCTTTCCCCAATTTTTCCTGTAAATTCTCACTAGGGTTAATGGTCTCGAGTTTCTTCAAGCTCTGGTTTTTGTCTAATTTTGGATATGTAGGTCGTATTGGAATTGATTATCGGGCTGATTCTGTGTATGTGGGCTGCTTTAACTGTTCCTGGGAAATTTCTGTCTATTCATCCGGATTCCGAGGAGAACAGGTTGGTTATTCAGATCTCGACAGTTTCCATATGCGCTTGTAGTGAGTTATTACATGCCATGTTGTTCTTCCGAGTGAGAGTGTCCTTTGGTTACTGCTTCGTTAGAGAGTTGAGTTCATTTCAGTGAAAGGGTTCATGTCTTTCTGATGGGTTTAGTTTGGAATTGTGAAAGAGTGATCTTATGCCATGGAGGGACTTGCTAATTTAGATTTGATCTAATCTACGAACTATATTCTCTTACACAATTTGTGATACCCTTATGGGTAGTTCGGGTCTTGGAAAAAGAATCTAAGATGATATGGTAGAAACATTACACGATGTGATCTGACGTGATTCACCGGTTTAGAGCTTGGTTCACTGGAACATGGTGGAGATTATATGACAGTGTGTGTCCAGTTATGTCTTTATGGTCCTCGAAAGGAACTGTAAGAAAGCAGCGAATTTCTCTACAGAGCAGGTAACCTTCATTCGTGTTGAATGAGAAGTGGCAGAAAAAGGATAGTGAAAGGTTTTAAAGGGATGAATTAGTTGAATTCTCTTTCCC